TTTCAAAAACTTTGGTTTCAAATGAAGAAAGAATTTTATGTTTGATTCGTCTATGAATAATGATGGCAACGCCACCACAAGGTCCATCAAGACGATCATTTCTATAAATCAAGTAATTTGCGTCCTTCTTAACCTTATGGTCAGGTTTAAGGAACGTTTCAGTTATAACGGCAATATGCACGTTATGAACTCTTAAAAAATTAAATAGCTCGTCTTCATTATCTTTAAGAGATCGAGCATTCCAATTTACAATATTTAATGCTTTAAAATCCATTACTGAATTTTAAAGTCATGACAATATTATTTGCAAATTTTACTCCAGTTTGAATAGCATCAAACATGGAGTTAGATTTAAGCATATCAGAAATCATGTCAATTAATGAATTCTGTAAAAATTCCATTTTAGGGGCAGTAATGCTTCCTAAGTCAAAATTGTCAAAATTTCCGTTAGAACGTTGGTTAGTATTTTGATTTCTACCCGCTGCAATAGCAGCATAGGTAGCTCCATTAACTCGCTGAACATTGTTAGCAGCGAGGGGAGTAGGTACAGATGAAACATTTGAAGCAGGGGTGATATTTGTACCTACGGGTACGAATGTAGAATTTGTTCCTCGCTGACCGTTGTTAACAGCAGAGGAATTTGTACCTGGTCGGAAACGTGGAGCGTTTCCTACCTGACGGCTAGAACGAGATTGTAGGATCGCTTTGCGAGTCTTACATTCCCAAAAATTGGATTTGTGGTTTTCACCACAATTTGAACATTTAAATTTCTTAGGATCTTCCTTCACAGGACAGTCGTCCTTTGCGTGAGAGGAATCACCACAATTCATGCATTTAGCTGGCATGTAGCAATTTTTAGTTCCGTGACCCCATCCCTGGCACTTACGGCACTGGGTGAGGTTTTGGAAATTTCCTCCAGTCTTCCTGAAGTGTTCCCACTTCACTCGGACATGGAGCATAAGGCTAGCTTTTTCTAAGGCCTTAAGGTTGTTTAGTTCACTAGACTTGAAGTGAACTAAATAAAAATCATTAGAAATCCCGTTGCGCGAATCGCCAGGACGGGATTTCATTTTCATTTTGATTACTTGGAGTGGCACAACTCCAAGTAATTTTGCCAGTTCATCTTTGATCTGATCCAGGGATTCACCACTGGGCAGTCCTTTCATGACAACCTTGAACACACGTTCAGTTTTGGTGTCGTAAGTAAAAAATTTGTGCTTCTTCTCAGTAAGATACTTGAGAAGACATTTAAATCCGTCCAAGGTTTCAGCCAATACACGGCATTCACCCCGACGTCCAATTTGTAGTGAAAACTTAACTTTCACGAAATTCAAAAGTTCCATGCGAAGAGCATGGAAATCGGTAGTGGTTATCACAATAGGGGGAATCTTTTCCTTCTTGGCATTAAGCCGGGAAAGTTTACTAGAATTTTTCTTGGATGATGGATCATTCTCATCATCCGTGAGCAAATCAAATTGATTACTCAAATTAATTTCATCAGAAGGGGGGTCAAGAGTTTGCCCCTTTCTTTTGCGTTTAGGCGCCATGGCGGCAGTAAATTTTTATCCAAATCGACTTCCAAGCAGATTACTATAAGAATCTGAAGGATCGAAGAGGAATTTTCCAAATCGATATCCAAGAAGGATTACCTCGGGTAGGGTCCAAACAAGGATCGAAGAGGAATAAGAGTTGAACAAGGTAGAAAATTTTTTACAGGTTGAGCACTGAAAAGTGCTGTTTAAATTTGTTGTAGCTTTAGGTAGTAGTAACACTTCCTTCAGCAAAAAGCAAATAGATCCGCACGGCAAGAGAGCACGATGCGGACTTCAAGAAAACCTTTGAATTAACCCACAGTTCTGCACTAATACTTGTGCAATTCACAAACGTCAGAGCAGTCTATTAGGCCCTTTGGCAATTCCATAGCCCGTTAAAGGAACGTATATCTTTAACAGGTACGCCAAGTACTCAACACCACACCACTGAGAACTTAGCACTGATGAAATCTGTAAGTAGTAGACGAAATACGCGTATCTGTCAAAAGATTAGCAATTATAACGAAATTAAAAGGAAATAAATTAACAAAGTCAAAAAGCTCTTCATAAAGGGATTCCGTTAAGAGGTTCGACAAATTTAAAAGAAGATTTTCGTGTCCAATTTTTTCGTATTCAACCTTTACCAAGCAGACAGCCGTTTTAACGATGTTTTTTAATTGTAGGGACTTTAAACAAACGCCAAGATGTTCTCCTATCCTTTAATTATCTACGTAACAACAAAGTCTCAATCTACAAACATTTACAAATCTCAACGTTTTCTTTTTAGGTCCAAGATCTCAAAAGCTCTTCAGTTCAGGAATAGTAATTTTATGAAGAAGTAGTTAATATGGGTTGTTAGCGGAATGCTTAAATAAAACAGCAAAAAGGTTATCTTTCCACTTCCACATTCATTCCACTTAATTAATTTTGGAATCCATGCCAGATACGTATTTCGACTATAGTCTTCATCAGTGTCATCCCACTAAAGACACTGGGTAAAAATGTCAAGATCACAGGTATAAAAATGAAACTTAAACGTGCATAATCGGAACCTACCTAACTAATAACCCCGTAAAGTGGGTAGATCACCTTTTCGTGGTACGTTACGGGATGTAAGATCTATTACCGATTCCTAGTCCTGACTACTTCAAATAGGGGAATAGGATTTTTCAGTAATCAAAGGAACACATCTTGGTCCTTGTTACTTTTTATGCCTTGTTGATAATCACAAGACTCGGCTTTATCCACCGAGGATGATCTTGAAACAAGGAAAAAATGAGTGAGTTAGTCTTCATCTATGTGATTCCTAATCTTATAATCGTTGTTCCATAGTTTTAAATGGTTAAAACTAGGGTTCTGATGCATAGTCAGCATCGGTGACTTTGCTTAATTGTGTTGCTACTGAATCCAATTTTGACTGGCAAAGGGGCACGCCTTTGGAGGGTGTTCTCACTCTTCAAAGGGTATAAATAGCGGGACCTTTCAATTAGAATCGATTCCTTGCGATGAAGACAAGAACTGTATCAAAATCGAATACTTCATCATTGCTCAATAGTAATGAAGTGTAATACGACATGCACTAAACTTCTTCTTTTTCGCATTTGTAGTTTATTGCTTATCTCATTGTAGCTATTGCGTGCTCTCAACTTAATGTTCTAGATGCACTTCCATAGTTATTAATTGAAAGCCCGATGCCTGTACCTCTTATGTATTAGTTTAATTGTGTGGCAAGTACAATCATACTATTATGCCCAAGGAAGTTGAAAAATTTTCCAACCCGAAAAATGCCTAGACCAGACCGGGAATTAAACCCAGCATGGCCTTGCTTTGTAGCTGCGACTTTACCGACTGAGCTAAGGACACGGTATATATTACAATAGATCAAATTACTGGTAGCAGTGATTTTATGTCCCGAACAGAGAAAAAACTAATAACCAAAGATTTAAGTAAAGTAATGGAGAAAAATCAACGCAATTCTTTAATAGGGAAAATTACCAAAGGCTGTTTTATTTTTTATGATTAAATAATTAAAGATTTAGCTATAAAATTGAGGCCTTGAGTCGTTGGAATCATTAACTTGGGAAATGGAGAAATAATTCAGGACTCATAGATTTTTAAGATCTCAGCCATAAGGAAATTTTCTACATCCCGGTCACAGGAAAAGTCATGACTCAGGGTTTGATGATTTAAAAATTCTGAACTGGAAATTTATATCGACATGCATCGACCAATCTTCGTGAACCCAGTTTAAAAGAAAACTTGTTAAGATGAAATCACAAAAAAAATAACGTTCTTTGACATAAAAAAAAACTGTGAGATCTCAGATTAAGCACATGTTCAAGTTTCAAGGTTTTCAGAAGACACACAAATCACAACAATATTCAGCATGCCGTGTTCCCTAATTTTTGAATCCCTATTTTTAAGGCATCTGAGACTCTCAAATCTAAAGAATTATGTTACTATGGAAAATTTTCAACATCGAAAATTAAAAAAGTGTATGTATGTAATGTATGCCTAACGCACATATGCCTAATGTAGTTATGCCTAATGTCATGCACCCACACAGGCATGTGCGATAGGTAAATTAATCCTTTTAACTACTGCTTTAAGTACTTTAAATACACACTGCTTTACGTCAATTAAAAATTAATTAAAGTCCAATTATTAAAGTAGAAATTTCATTTAAAATTATATTTATTATATGTTCAGTGCTATTAGTTACATAGAGAGATACACAAATCAACTTCAATTAAAACGAAAAGTAAAAAGATATCATATATTTTATATTTTATTATCGATTATGAGAAAGAAAATTGTGCTTCGGACCACCTCTTTCATACTAAAAAAATCAATTTTTCTCCACGATCATTATTAGCACGTCCTGCCTATATAAATCATTTACAGTTTTATTTTCAATACACACTTATTTCGCCATAAAAAAATGAATAATAATAACATTCATCAGGGAGACTCATAAAAACAAGTTATCATGTGCCACGTGGTTGCCTATTCACTGCTGAAATTTTCCGTATCACCCAAACGTTATCTTAAGTACAAGAGCACCAAATCGGCACCTCACCCTCGGGAAATGAAAACGGAAAAAACGTTGATGAAATTTCAGGCACTCCGCTGGGTTGATTGCTCTACTAGAGGCAATCTTCAGAGTGTTCATATCAAAAATAGGCACTGGAGCTCGGCTATCATAAGTTTTTCAGATTTCCTCTTTGAACAAAGTCCATTGAAGTTCGTTGCGATCTCAGCATACCAAGTTTATAGATTGAAACGTTGTTATTAACGCGCCACTAATGTACAATATGTTTTACGTCAAGCACAAAAATTTATGCAAATTGTGTTTTTTTGCGAACCGCTACCAGGCAAAACAGAGCGTCAAGTAAAAAACGCCACTCTTCATTAGTTGACTGAGCACGGAGCAGAAAAACAAAAGGATGTATTAAGCAAATCACTCACCTAAAAGAAACTGTTTGCGTCCGGTATAATCCTGTATTCCGAGAAAATGTTTTCCACTTTTCACGACCGTTCCAGCAGCCTTGTTTATTATTTAGTTTTTAAAACAGCTTGCTTAATAAAAGCACACAATAATTAGCACCAGTGTGCTCGAAGCCACCCAATTATTTTCTACTCCTCGCGTCAATTGGTACTTATTACGGACAGAGCAAAGTATGAACATACAATGGCGACCGCAGAGCAAACAGCTGTTAGGGGAGAGTAAAAGAAACCCTTCCTGTAGACTTTCCTGCTGAGCACAATTATGTAATAGCCAGTTCAATCCACTTGGTCCGTCAAGTTGGAAAATCAACAATACATCAATGCTAAGTGCAGCAATAATCACATACTTTAGGTACACCACTCTCACCAAAGCCCCAGTTAATCCTCTGAATTTGTACCACTAAAATCCACTTAATAATTTAGCCTCAAGATAAATGTTTACAATACCGCACTAGGGTACAAATACGAATATTTTGCGCAAACAAGCTTCGAATCTCTTCTCCGGTAGCAGCACTATGTTAGGACGAGTAGTTTTCTCCGGTACCCGCCAGTTAGTCGAACGCCTTGAATTAAATTATTCCACTTCTCGAAAAGCTGCATCCCCCATAGGATCCCCTGAGAGCTGGAGCAAAAAACGCGCGGGCGGCAAAGCAGCTTTGCAGCAATGTACCTACAGAGTTCCTGCTTCGGAAATTCCGTATCGAAAACACGTGCTTCGCGTTCAAACGACTCGCTATGCACTGAACCGCTTCATTCGAGACTAGCTGGGCTTTGGTGGGTGATGGTGGAAAGCTTTTGCCAAGCTGACTGCCTTCGGGATTTGGTTGGGTTCGGATTCGGATGTTCGGAACCATCCATAAACATGGCCCCGAACGCTAGCCGAACCATCACGAACTTCCCAAAACATATGACCCGGTGAAACGACTAACTGTAAACCGGCCGTCGCTCTAGGCAACTTGGTTACTGCCGGGAAAATACAAGGATCAAAACACGGCGACAGCGACGGGAAGAGAGTGCAAAGCGAAAATAATGAATGAAAATTTTCTCGGATTTGGTTGTGTTATTTCGAAGCGCTTTCAATGAGTGTGTATAGATAGATAGGGGTACATGGGGTAAAATGCACCCTTGTGGTAAAATGACTTTTTTTTTTCAATTTTGAATACATTTCCAAATAATTTTCACAGATGCATCGTGCAGCATTGCTAGTTTAGACATTGAACAAGCATGGCTGTTTGACAGATCATCGAAATAGAGGTGCAAATGTATTTTAAACGCCAAGAACTCATTTTGCCCTGGGGGTGTATGTTACCCTAGAAACCCGTACTGTCGCTGATGTAGGTTGAACCGTGGGAGATGGCACGACTGCTGCTTCAGATTGAAATGGAGGCGCATGGTGTGTTGTTTGCTCTGGGTAGGGAAAGTTTTTCTACGCAATTGTGTTTTGTGCTCACTCTGAAGGTCAAAAGTCACGAAATAAAAGCAATTGGATTCACTGGATGGTAAATTTTGTTGAAGTTGAAGACGGAAACGATCAAAGTAGTCAAGGCTTTGTTACCTAGCTGACATTTTATAATATTAATTTACACTGATAGGCAAAATAAAGTGCCCACCCCATCATTTTTGAAATTTCTCTCATTTATTTGGTTCAAATTCAAATAAACACACCGTAGTCTGTTTCGATGTCTTACCTTTATTATTCTTTTAAAGTTACACCTATGGAATACTGAAAATATAAAGTTTTACTTGAAGTAAAAGAAAATCAATTTGGATTGAAAAAGAAAACAGTGACAAAAAAAAGTGCCCACTTCAAAAATCGGTATGTTTTCGATAAGTTTCCATCGGAAAACCCCTCGATTGTTTTTGTTTTGAAAGTTTGACATGTATTGAAGCAAACGGGTGGAACTGGTGCATTTGTACACGTGATCGCATTTGAATCAGTTGAAAAAAATGGAGGACGTAGTGATTTCGAAAGCAATTCCCGTGTGTATCCGAAAATTGGTTGTTCGTGATGTGCAAAACGGTGAATCGCACCGGTCTGTCGCTAGGAAGTACAATATCAGCAAAACAGCGGTCGGGAAAATTCTGCAGAAAATGAAATCGTTCGGATCAGTGGTGGATCGCCCTGGCAGAGGCAGGATGCGCAAAACGGATGCGAGAACGGACACCAAGATCATGCGTGAAGTGAAGAAGAACCCGAAGGTAACTGTCCGCGAGATCCAGGAGGCTCTTCAGCTAACAGTTTCCAGTCGAACTGTTCGTCGCCGTCTCGTAGCACAGGGGTTGAACAGCAAAGTTGCTCGGAAGCGCCCATTTATCAGCAAGGCAAACAAAGTCAAACGGCTTAAGTTTGCTAAGGAGCATGCTGATAAGCCCCTAGAGTTCTGGAAAACGGTTCTCTGGACGGACGAATCAAAATTCGAACTGTTCAACCGGAAGCGACGGGTTCGTGTGTGGTGTAGATCGGGTGAGGAGCTTCAGGAGCGCCACATACAAGGCACGGTGAAGCATGGAGGAGGAAATGTGATGGTCTGGGGGTGCTTTTCGTGGGGTGGAGTGGGAAGCCTGGTGAAAATCGACGGGATAATGACGGCAGATTCCTACATCGACATCCTGCGGGAAAATCTGGAAGTTTCGCTGATCCAGACGGGCCTTGAGGAGAAATTCGTATTCCAGCAGGACAACGATCCGAAGCATACTGCCAAGAAGACTAAGTCTTTCTTCCGGTCATGTCGAATTAAACCACTGGAATGGCCTCCACAAAGCCCGGACCTCAACCCCATCGAGAATTTGTGGGCGATTCTCGATGCCAGGGTTGACAAAACTGGTGTTACCAATAAAAATAACTATTTTGAAGCCCTGGAGCGCGCCTGGGAAGAACTAGATCCACAGCACCTGAAGAATCTAGTGGAGAGCATGCCGAAGCGCCTGCAGCTGGTCCTGAAGGCCAAAGGAGGACACATTAACTATTAGGCTGGTATTCTTTTACTTTATTTTATGTTTTCTGGAGTTAAAATGCAGTGGGCACTTTTTTTTGTCACTGTTCTTTTTTACACCCATTTTGATTTTTTTTTCTTCGAGTCAGTCTCTTCTTTTTATCTGGTATTCTATAAGTGAAACTTAAAAAGAATATAAAGAATAAGATATAAAAAATACTACAGTGTATTTACTTTAATTTGAACCAAATAAATGAGAGAAATTCAAAAAATGATGGGGTGGGCACTTTATTTTGCCTATCAGTGTACTTGAATATAGAGCTTTGGGCCATGCATTAATTATGTCACGCTAAATCGAGCAAAAAATTACCCCCTCCCCTACCCTATCGTGACGTTTTTCCTATACCTAATGCATTACTTGTCACAAAATCTTAGACCACCTCCCCCTCCCCCCTTAGAGCGTGACATAATATATGCATCAACCCTTTGTACAATACAGACGTTATTATGCATAATACTGAACAATAAGTTTGCATATCAGTTCGGTTTTTGCTAGAAAAGAAGAGCGGGCAAGTTGTTCATTGGAAATCATACAGAAATCCTGCGACGAGCGCGGTGAGTGCTTATTCGGTTGGAAAACAGCGAAGAAACAGCAAAGGGGAACGGCACCACCCACCACGGCTCTTGGAGAAATGTGTGTATCTCAGAAACTACACTTTGATTTTTTTTTTCACTTCCACGAGAAACCACTGAGGTGTTGGATAAAAGGGTTTGGTTTGTATCAGGGCTCGTTTTGGTAAATGGTGCACTGAATTAAAGTGATGGGTTCATGTTTGGAAAGAAAGCGATTAATGTACACCGGGGCAAGTCGAAATGCGTGGTAAGTTAAAACGGAAGCAATAATGCGGAAGTGAGTTATCACTGTGTTTATTTTTGCAATATAATATAAAGTTAAACGCATCCTATCCTATCACTGCCAAATCAGGTAGCTACAAACAGCTTAGCGTGCTCCTCAGCTTTGTTTATTTTAATTGTATATGAAATTTACATCACACATGTTTTACACATTGCTTCAATCTTCTCAAACAAGTTTTATTTCCTGTATTTTACACATTTGTATGCACTAGGGAAGCATGTGGATGCTAACTGGAGTGATGATATAGAAAAACGCAGTTACAAATGAAATTACAAAAAATATCTTCTACATTTCAAGCATTTCAACTTGCCCCACAATTTTACACCCTATGGTGCAATTAGAAATAAGTACAAGGGGGCAAGTTTGAATGGGGGATATTCCATTCTTAGTAGAAGAGAACACTTCAATATATTAAAGGATAGCCAAGAGACAGCGATGAGTGCTTTTATATAAACCTACCGTACAAATAAGGTTCCCGTATCACCTGTGCATACAATGCCTTGGTTTTCTTTGCATGCACGTAACCTATAGCTCATACCGTAGTAGTCGGTGTATAAAAGAAAATGATTTACATAGTTTGGAAGTTGCACCATGACGAAGTGGCAGCGTATTCGTGATTTGTCCCACGCGCAAAAAAGACATTTCAATCGCCGTGGGAGTGTCCCGGTGGACCGTCAAAAGGGTTTTAGACCGAGAAAAGAAAGGACAACTATCCGCGAAGGTGGCCACAGGTCGTCCGAAGTCAGCTCGGGTTCCGAGGGTTATCGCTGCTATCAAAAGGAAGATTCGGGTGAATCCAGTGCGTTCAATAAGGAAAATGGCAAAGGAACACGGGATCAGTGACTTTATGGCACGGAAGATCGTAAAGGAAGATTGCGGGGTGAAGTCGAGGGCACGGAAAAAAACTCACATGGTTATCAACCGCATCCGGGAGCTACGAGTCGAACGATGCAAGAAAATCTTGAACTTCCTTAAGCGAAAAAATCCGGTAATCCTGTTCACCGACGAGAGCATGTTTACCGTCGATCCCGTATCAAATTCCAGAACCGACCGGTATATTAGTTCTCTTGCGGTAAAAGACGTGGCCAACGAGCACAAGAACGTGTATCTGACCAAGCACCCTGCTAGCGTTATGTTATGTGTATTGTGGCTTCCGATGGCAAAAAATGGACCCAGTTTTCATTCCAGAAAATGTTGCGTGTGAAGGCCGTAATTGCATCAAGTGGAAACTCGATCGATGATTAACATAGTTTAAGACTCTGGAACATCCCCCTTTGAATAAATAAAAAAAACTCGAAAACGAAATTTTTGAGAATTTTTTTAATTTTGACATTGCTCAATGGTGCAAACATTATCACGCATACGGTACAGTTTTAAAAAATTGAAAACTATTATTTTTACCATAAAAAAGGGAGGTCGATTTATCTTAAGTAATGATAATTATAATTGATGTTTCACCATCAAATTTAATCCATCGGTTGATTTAGCTGTATAAAAGCACATTAAGCTTGTTCAATACAGTACTATTTGGCTGCATAAGGTGTTCTGCAGCGAAAATTTATTGTAGGTTTGGCTGTGCTCGATGTATTTTAATACTATCCTATTATTACAATTTACGATAATACACACACTTATTTATTTTTTTTTAATCTCGGCTTCTTTTTCCGAGATTTACACCGTTAAAACAATTGAGGTAATCATATGATCATTTGAACAATTGAATTTATTTATAATTTGGTAAAATGTCAATAATAGAATGTATGGTAATTTCATTGTCATTTCATGGTTATATTTCTGCATGGACTGAACTGCCCTGCGTTCATCGGAGGATCCTTATATT